AAGGACAGACTTGATAATCTACTGTGCATGAGAGCGATATGTTGGAGCGAGGTCAGCACTCAGCACACCTAATTAAGCCAGATCTACCCAGAGGCAGGTTACAAGGTGATGCGAGATAACTACGGCGAGGAGGTGTGAAAGGTCAATCCTGTTTAAGTTCCCTCTCCCCCCAGCAGGGTTTTAACCTTCGACACTAATGGCGTGGAACGATGCGCTAGCCCTAGTCAAGAACATAAGAAGTGTGACTGAACAAAAACTCACCTTGGAAAGCCGCCAGAAAGGGAGCTGAACAGCTTCGAAGTGGGCGTGGTTATCAATCGGCTTATAACTGGACCGAAATAGCCTAGTTTCAAATAGTTGCTATGCGTGAAACAAGGATCTAATAATTATTTCTGCGGAAGTGGTATAATGGGAAATGGCGCCGCTTGGAGGATTCCACACCAAAGTCAGAGGTCGAAAAAGCCGAAATATACCTAGTGGAAAGGCAGGCGGACTCCGGACGCGGAATGATGCGTGATTTGCACTGAAAGATATGCCCTTGCGGCCTAGCACGGCCATGCTCGCGCCATTGCCAAGCGATTGGCTGGATTCCTCGCCGTCTGACTCTAGCCGCTCTAGCAGAAAGAGCGTTGGTGTTGAAGAGGTAAGTGTCGATGGGACTCGTCTAATGCACGAATCAACCACCAAGAAGAAGATCTTATTTCCCAGGTTTCAAGCCGTTTTTCTCGTTTTTTCTTCATTCCTGCATCACTGACCACCTCTTAAGTAGCTAATTGATTCCTGATGGGCGTGTTTTCTTTGCAAACTCCCTCTTTAATATCGCACGGTCCAGGTTCAAATCCACGTGCGCCAGTCAGGCCAACCACTAAACTGATACACCAGCATCAGTTATCAGTACGGGGCTTATCTAGAAGAATAGAAATGTCGTTGTTGTCTCGTAAATCGGCTGGTCCCGCAAATTATCGTGTGGACCAAATCGCCTTCAAGAGGCCACTACAATTTTAAACGAAGGTAGAATGCGTGGTGCATTCTAAAGTGTCCCTAGATTACGTCTGATGCATCAGCTTTTTGTTATCGCATTGAGGTAATTGTTCTTGCCCCCTCTCCTTCTGGTACGCAACTTCCGTCGTTATAAATCAATGTTAGACTGACAATTGTTTCTCGAAATGAATCAAAATGCTGCTTAGGGTTTCTGCCAAGGAATGCAATAATGGTCCACTTCCTGAAAACAGTCTTTGCGAAAAACAAACCATCACAAAACATTCATAAAAGGGGCGTAGAACGCTATCTGCGCTTATTTCTGTCATACCAGCGAGGAGCGAACTCATTTCAAAAAGCTGAAAATGCTTCTTCTGCTTGGAATTCTTGCTCTTGTGCCGTCTGTGTGCGGTCAGCAAC